TAAAAAGTTGGAAGAAGGAATTCTACTACAATAAAGAGTTGGAAATTTTCTTTGCATTCTGTTGAAACAAGGAAATAGCAATTTTGTTTATTCCTTCCTAAGTTAGGAATCCTACTACATTAAGGAATAGAAATCCCACTACAATAAGGAGTTGGAAAATTTTCTTTGAATTCTATTCAAACAAGGAGATAGTAATTTTGTATATTCCTTCCTACGTTAGGAATCCTGCTACATTAAGGAATAGTCAAGTCAATTCCTGCTAGGAAGTGCTTGAACTGATCTGTTCATTTTAATTTGTTTAGGTTGGTTCTTTTATTGCTTTTCTTGGTCGTTCCTTTGTGTCTTTTTGTTTCCTTTAACTCTTGCAGATTTGTTGGAGTTAGATTGCTGCAAAATAACTTGAATTGAGCTTGTTTAGTTCAATAACGAATTGAAAGAGGAAAGTTGAGTGAGGGAAAAAGGCAAGAGGTGTGAGCAATACTTGAGAGAAAAGCCAAGTTCTATAGTGTGCAAAACACGAGCTTTGAGTGCCATTCTGTGAGAGAGTGGAGTGAAACACGTAAGGGAGTGTTGAGAGGTCCTTTTATTTTTTGTTTCTAACATTCCTTGCAGGTTTCAATCATGTCAAGCGGTGATGACAGAAAACACCAAGTGGATGATGCCTTCATGCTCAAAGCTATGCAACAACAATTTTAGAGGCTAGACATCATGTTTGGTGAAATTAAAGAGAAAATGGAGAAGAAAGATGCAGCTATTGCCAAGTTATACCAAATACAAAATGGAAGTCCAAATTTGCATAGTCACGATCTTGATGACAATGATGAAGACGCATTCAACGATGATGCCCAGAACTCAAATTTCAGCATGGACCGATTTATGAGAAGTAAAGGGGGTCAAAGATATAGATTTAACAAAGGAGACGAAAATCTGGCAAGGTGGGGAGATTGGCAAGATCATGACTTAGGCAGCATCAAGATGAAGATTCCTCCATTCCAAGGCAAAAATGATCTAGATGTGTATTTGGAGTGGGAAAAGAAGGTGGAATATGTCGTTGATGGAGAACTGCTTGTCATTAGGCGAGCTTTGAATATGCAAGCCAAAGAAGATGATGAAGTACAACGTGACAATATATTTCACACAAGGTGCCATGTCAAAAACAAGGTATGTAGTGTGATTATTGATGGTGGTAGTTGTACTAATGCAGCTAGCACTGTTTTGGTTGAAAAGCTTAATTTACCGATGATGAAGCATCTAAGGCCATATAAACTGCAATGGTTAAATGATTGTGGAGAAATCAAGGTAAATAAGCAAGTTCTGGTTTCATTCTCTATCGGACGATATAAGGATGAGGTACTGTGCGACGTGGTTCCCATGCATGCTGGACATTTACTTTTGGGGAGACCATGGCAATATGATAGGAGAGTAACACATGATGGCTTCAAAAATCGCAATTCGTTCATCATGGAAGGGAAAACAATTACTCTTGCACCATGGAGTCCAAGGCAGGTTTATGAGGATCAACTGAGAGTAAAAAAAAAAGAGAGTGAGCTGAGATATGAGAGTGAGCTTGAGGGTACCAAAAAAAAAGAGAAAACAGCAGAAAAAGAGTCCAAAAAGAGAGAAAAGATTGAGAGTGTTGAAAACAAAGAGAGAAAATCAGTTAGTGTTTATGCAAAAGAAAGTGATGTCAAGGCTGCGTTCTTTGCAAACCAGCCTATGTTTGTGCTTCTGTATAAAGATGCTTATTTCAACACTAACGAACTTAATGATTCTTTGCCTAGTGTTGTTAAATCTCTTTTCTAGGACTTCAAGGATGCGTTTCCAGATGATGTTCCTACTGGTTTACCACCAGTTAGAGGAATCGAGCATCAAATTGACTTCATTCCTAGTGCAACAATTCCAAACCGACCAGCATATCGAAGCAATCCCAATGAGACGAAAGAACTTCAAAGGCAGGT